ACTGCATAAACCAGCAGTGAACCAACTCAGTCTTTACAGAATGCCTCTCTTTATCATTATCAGGCGATAACGCACCCAGTTCCAGTATCTGCATTTGGTTCTCATGAGCACTTCTCCCCCTTCTTAGATACAATAAATCACTCCGTTAAACTTAAAAGAAATGTTCTATTGACAAAACAGGCTTTTTCCCACAGAATGCTGTTTTTCGCACACATACCAACTTGGACCCAAAACCCTCTTTACCCATGCCGACGATTAACTGGTGAACTCAGGTTCTCCAGTAACCGCGTCATCGCAAACTCTATTTGAATGAAACATCATAACCGACTGGCACAGCCTCCTGACTTAAAACCGTATCACTCGTAACATCCAGCAGATCAGCTCCTTGCCGAGTTGATACACTCAAGACGACGGCCATAGTTTATGTGTCCATCATTTTTATCTGCTTACGGTCTATGCAGACCACATATTCACGTGCCAATACAGCGCCACTTCTCCATGCTAACACAGCAAAGCCTTGCTTCAACTACTTGTCCATGGAAAGTCCCGATTCTTGTCTCTCAGAGATCCAGCAGGCCTTCACCACAGCAATGTAGAATGATCCATCCAATTCAATCCCTCTAAACAAGATCTCTTCGGGAAGTCTGTCATAGGGCTTCTTCAGACTGAGTCGTTACGCTGCATCTTCACGTAACACTCTTGCGTATCATCTTCATGCAATGTCATCAGGTAGAATCGGAATTCAGCATCTTCGCATAGCATCTTATCACAGTATCTGTGCGTCTTCCATCAGCGTATTGATAAAGTCGGTTGGACTTTTAAAGATTAAATTGACCGCACTTATTCAGCTTAGAAACCAAAGCAAGATCCAACATGCTGTCATTAAGTCCGTATCTACGCGACCGTTTGTGCGTAAAAAGCAAACTTGTCTATCTATCTAAGTCTATCATCTCAGCATTTTCATGTTAAGCTATATTTCCTATTTACCTTTAATCAGACCCTGCATGTTAAAAAAACTTTATTACGCACCAACCTTAGTTATTGTATTATAATGAGCTTAAATTGCACACATTGTTCTTGCAGCTTCCTTAGCTTAGAATAAACATGGACAGTCCAGGAAAGACTTATCTTTGCGCATGTGTCTAGTCATAATTAGGAAATAAAAAGTGGGCCTTCATAGTAATTCAATTTCATCTCTCAGCCAACCTTCGTAGCTTGTGCACTCCACAATCGTGCACTGGACGAAAATGGGTTTCATAGTTGAAGAAACCTCATCCTTTGATATGCTTCTCTTATTTGAGAAAAGTGAACTCTAAAGAACATACTTCTGAATGCAGCAGTACATTGGGTATTTTTGGACCCTTTATTTGTTGTGATCGTTTTGCCAGAAGTCAATTATATCGTGGTCTGATGAAAAATGTAGAGACAAAGTGCCCAAAAACTATTTTGAGTGCACCTCATCTGATTCCCAACCTAAGCCTAGTAAACCTTAACGCTACAACCCTACTTGAATGACGTCAAGATTCAGTCTATATCGTAAGCACATCTCAGGAATCCAGTAGATTGCATTAAGGCAATAGTTCATCGGTTGTCATTATGAATATTTTCTATGAGATGTATTCACCCTATTTCGTTTAGGGTGATGAAGGACTGGGAGTAGAATTTTCCTACAATCATATGAGTAAAGCTGGCGTTTTCATTAAATTTCATAGAGCCTTGTTTTCCCAAAAGTTGTTCTCATCCAGGCTGAGGTGGACTGCAGTTTCGACCTCGATCTTATTAACACCCTCAGCGGGAGTCGAACCGTGACAGTGCAGCATGCGAGCTTGACGCAACTCAACCTCATTATCACGAGTGACCTTGGATCACAGAGCAGATGCGTATTTCAAGGAAAGTCAGGCCTTTCTCCCATATCACATTCTTTGGTGGGATTGTCGATGAAGCAAAAGTATCTTTGCTATAATAATCAACTACCGCAGTCAACCCTGGATGAGAACAACATTTAGGAAAGCAAGGCTCTGTGAAATTTAATGAAAACGTCAGCTCTACTCATATCATTATGGGAAAATTATACTACCAGTCCTTCATCACCTTACACGAAATATAGTGAATACATCTCATATAACTCATTTA